AAACATGTTTTTTTACGTGGTGATTAGTGTATATTTTCTGTTTTAGTTATATTTCTTTCTAATCGACTTCGATAACATTGCATATCGCGTGAATTCGCTAGCTGGCTGCTAGAGTTTTATGGTATTGAATATTGAATATAACAGCTTCGAAGTGACTGTCCCGACTCGAGATTATATAGTGTATACATGTATCGTCATATGATTTTAGTTTCGGATCAGTTACCAACACTATTGTGTTGGATTTCAATAGAATGTTACATGACCAATTTAATAACCTCTATTTGCAGTTATGTAATATGCGATGATAACAGCAATTAATACTTGGTAAATTGAAGTTGTAAACAAAATTTGTGTATTTATAACTGTATGACGCATCTGTGCATAATAAGTATTTAACTGCAAGGACGCCAGCATGGACTCGAAATATGATTGATAATTTTAAAATAGGTAACCCAACATCTGTCTATTTATAGATGTTGATTTATGCTTTGCGATGTCACAAACGACCATTTCCACAATATGAATATATATATAATTAAAATTTATTGATAAGCATGCCTTCACAAATTAGATTTCCGTCCGAACATGCATTACATACTTTGGTACTAAGTGAATATGTGTTGGAGGATTACAACACTCGTTGTTCAGCACTCCGTTATATTTTACATAGTTCCAACCTCTTAGTTAGCATACGTTTTATACACAATTTCTTTTTTCATGAATTTCTAGAATGATTAATATATATATCACATTGGAAGACACAATCAGAACAGTGATATAGACTACACATTTACGGAACATTAACGCACTATTTGACTCTATATGCATATAAATACAATAAAGAATTGTGTCAAATTATTCGTCGGCTTCCATAACACCCATAATGCACGTATCCGGTAATCTCTGGTGACGTCAGCTATTCGAGATCTAGTATCCATTTTCCGGTGTGGTTAATTTACATACCAATAATAATACCCACGCATCTGCACAATCATCTACATCAGCTCTTCAGCTCCAAGTAAGTAACACATTTAAAGCATGTCTGATCTTGACGAATTTTATGTTCTTCTATAATGCTTCTAGTTAATGTGGACACAACACGAAGAACCTCAAACATGTCTTTCAATATTTGATGCTGCGAAAATTAAATAAATTCGCTTATTATCTAGCCATATTTGGATATTAGCATTGAGCTTGGCATATTTGTATAGTCAGTCGTAAATTCCTGTCAATATCACCATTTTATATCTCTGAATTCGTCAATGCAAAGTGATTAATTATAGTAAATTATGTTGCACAGATATTCTAGTGTGTTCATTAACTGTCTCTGAACTGTTATATCCTCAAATTTACAATTGCATTTCAGCAAATCGCAGTACATTGGATAGATTTGTGATACTCGGTTTGATTTTAAATCAAGAATGTTTGTGTACATGCTTTTTCGTGCTGCTGTATGTGTGGGTGTGCTGGAAGATTGCCAGCGTTGTGTAAAAGACTTGTAACTGCTGGTCTTCCAGTCTTTCCACACTAGCTCAATGAATTTGGTTACGTAAAACATTTTCTATTGCAAATATCTAGTTATATGGACATCCAGAACGTCAACAGATTTCTGTAAGTAGTTTTTGACTGGACTTGATGTTGGTTTCTTATTCATTGATTAGAAGAAAAACACAAATAACACATAATACTTATTAATATCAACGAACGACGACTTATATGATTTAATTTAAAATATTTTAGTTAATTTTATTTTATCACAAATGACAAAATATTCCAAAAATATTTATTTATTTATAGAATTAACTTTACTGTTATGAATATAAATGTTGTACAACTGCTATAAATAAATCGTTTTATTATAATGGTATGTGCGTAGAATGTTCACTTTACTTTGATTAACGAGTGAATATCAGCATATTGTGCATTTCATATTGCGTTGCTAAGCCAAACACAACCTGGTTGAGCATATGCTTCAAATAATCGTGTCTACTGATTCACCAGTAGTTTATTTTAACACAATAATCATTTACCTATTTACCAGATATACACTGCCAGAAGTAAACTAAGAATGAATATTCTAGATGAAAGTATCGTTCAAGTTGTCGCTGAAAATGTTAAACCCCGAGATATAATCGCCAAAACTGTCGTTAAGATGAAAGTGGAGGTACTAATTTCATTGCATGTGACACTAGATTCCAATTTACGTATACTAGTTTGAATTACGCCTTCATTTGTCGAATGTGTCCATTGGAAACTATATTTGATAACCATCCTAATATGTTCAAATTCATCAATAGACTCGAACAATTATACATCACGATGTTGTTTATTACTCTATGAATTTTATCTCATCAGAAAAACGATGACGCATTTTACGTCATGGATATTGGGGAGGTCGTCAGACGTTTTGAGGAATGGCAAAGTTTACTACCACGAGTTCATCCTTTTTACGGTAAATGTACTTGTCACATGTTTAATTTAATTATATGTCTTAGAATATTTTATAAAAATTGTTTATTTTTTTGTAATCTAGTGCTAGTAATATTATTATAATTATAAATAAAAAAGATCAAAACAATAACCAAGGACATGTTAGGTAATTATTGCCTACGTGGTTATGTTTTTGCACCGCGCATGTCTAATGACGTCAAATAAATGGAAATAGCTTATTTTTTTCTGATAAAAATACGCTAAACACGCTCGTTCCTCCATCAAACAATTCCAGACGTCTATAGTTTCACGTTAACGCTACTATATGATTGTATTTACTATTTTACCCACATCGAATTCAAATAAAAACATATCACTAAAACAAAAAGTTCTTATCATCTTTCAGCTAATGAGTCATAACTATTTTTTCTCCCCACAGCTGTTAAATGTAATTCACATCCAGTGATTCTTACAGTACTAGGTGCACTTGGCTCCGGGTTTGATTGCGCTAGCAAGGTGTGTATGCAGTATTGTATTAGTATTTCGCATTTATCTGTAAATCCTCTATTCAGACATTTTTATTTTTAGTTTGTATGCTAATTTTAAATAACAATCAAGCAATGTATTGTATTTTTCAATCATGCGATCTGTTCTAGGAATTTTTTTTACAATACAAAGTACACTAATATATTTTACTGTGAATTAAAAAAAAATAGTTCACGAACTACTTTCCATGAGTGTAACATTGAAGTCGTTTAGTGATGCTTGGATGTTGGTTATTCTGTTATTGTAATGTGGAACGTTTTGTTCAGCATAATAAAGTAATTAATTTACATAACTAAATTCACATTGAATGTTTTACATGCAGAAGGTATAACTGTGTAATTGGACGTTGGCTTTGATTCCGCGTACAATGGCCAATTGTCACCTGCAATAAATGTCCCTATCCCACTGCCCGGTGACTAATATGATGTACTCTTTATCAATTAATTTTAATAGCATGTTATTTGCATTTTTGTATATTCGTGGTATGGATGGGCGTGAGCAAAACAAACAAAGCGCATTATCGGCAATTAACAGTAGTGTAAAGTCTACCAAATTATTTAATCTTTTTTTATAAACAGGCATTTTTAGATCTGTTTTTCTGCTTTTTGACACTCACAAACAGTATACCGAGCGTGACATTAGTCGTGTAATAATAATATGATTCAATGAATATAACGTTTTGCGGATTGCGTGACTATCATTAATTAAATTGTTTATAAATTTAGTAACCTTGTTTACCATCGTCATAATCTTTAACACAACGATGATTCAATAATAAAACATATTCCTCATTCGAGTAACATGGCTGGGAAAGTTGTTAACGGTGATCATTTTATGCAAACGTAAATGGATGTGTTTAAAAGATGCAAATATAATATATGTGATGCACGGGATATCAAATTAGTTACCCTAGAATATAATATTCACACGCGTAGTAATCCATTCATTAACAAAACTAGAAACATACAATACTAGTTAAATAAAATAACATGAACAAATGTGTACACATTCGTTATAAAAAGCACCACATTTTTATGTATCTATCCTCGATGACATTAAATATAGCACAGATGCACCGGTAAAATGAATTTAACATTGTGAAGTGTAGTTCAATTCAAACATGACTTACTCCATCACTTATTTGTCACTGTCGGGCCATCAAATAGGTCATGTGATTGAAATAACTTTACATGAATTGGAAACATTGGGTCTCCGCGTGAGTGATAATTCAGGTTTCTATATTGCCATTAAGACTTTGATATATCATTTTGCAACACGTGCCAATTTGATTAATTTATTTAATTCTGATTTCGATTCAGTCAGAAATAGAAGATGTACTAAATATTGGTGTTCCAGCATCTCGCATCATTTATGCCAACCCTTGCAAATCCAAGACGCATTTACAATTTGCTGCTGTTAAAAAAGCAGGATTGATGACATTTGATGACGAGTATGAACTCCACAAAATCAAAGAAGTATACCCAGATGCGAAGTAAGTGTATTCGTTTTTTAATATATTATAGCTTCGAACACAGTATATATAATGCTGTTTTTGTATGTTTTTGTTATGTTTTTGTTTTGTAGATTGGTTATACGAATTAAAGCTGACGATCCCAGCGCATTGGTTAATTTCAGAATAAAATTCGGATGTGATGTGAAACATGCAAGACATCTTTTGCAAGTAGCGAAACAGCTGAGTCTCAACGTTGTTGGCGTGAGGTAATTTATATACAATAACGTTGCTCCCAGTCTCGCCGAGGCAAAGGAAACATTTTACATTATAATTCTACTCCCAGAAATGTGCCTCAGTAAAAATTTATATGTATGTATATGTTACAAACATAAAAATAAATTGTAGCTCAATAAGTCAATGAAGTCTATTCATGTTGTTGCTCTGAAATATTGCTCAATTGTACCTCTGGCATCATCATCATTAAGTATGTAGTTGCTTGTTTGTTGTTTCAGTATATACGCCATTGTCTGTAATTGCTTGTAATTGTTAAATAAAATAATCCCAGTGATGGCAACACAATGACATTCAATAGTGTGTGGTATATATTTATGAATCCAACTTTGATAATAATAACCACCGCAATATCTTAACCGGAGCCGGGATCTATTTTATATGTATTAGTAAAGATCGGGTAATGGGTATCACGTTTACAATGTCTGCTATTCGTCGAGAAAAAAAACTAAATATAAGCACACGGCTTTTCATGGTCAATTGCCATATTGTTGTACTCTTTTTTGGATAACGGATGACCACTAGTATATTCAACCCAGTAAATCTTCAATTTCAGTTTTCATGTTGGTTGTTTATGCCGAGATGCTACAGCCTACGCAACAGCTATTGGTTTATCACGACTGGTATTCAACTATGCTGCCGATATTGGATTCAACTTTACCCTGCTCGATATTGGGGGAGGGTATCCAGGTGATGGAAAAAAGCCTATTACGATTCAATGTGTAAATAACTTTACGATTATGTTTGTTTTTGTATAGGTTAAACACGATATTCAAACGGCCATTTTGAAGTAGTTGCTGTAAACAGTACTCGGTAAATTGAAACTTTCTGGATTGAAGGGGCCGTTGGAAGAAGTATAAGTCATGAGATAGAAATTATTTTGGACACAATGCCATAGACGTTTTAGGATGTTTATGTGACATAACAACACCGATAATGGGTGACAAATGTAGATTTCAATGGTCAATGATTGTCGATGTAGAGATATAACATATTTAGTTTGTGCCATTTATGATAAATAATAATATGAGAATTTCTCCTTATTAATTTGGTTTCAGTATGAATTTATATACATCGAGGTATTGCTGTATTTTTATATTTAGGCATGATGAAAAACTACGTACTGTTTTCTGCACAATACTGTATCAGAAGGTGTTTTATTAACAGTCAATGGCGTTAAAAAAATTTTGTTTACAGTATAGAGTAATCATATGATATAAGAATATCTTTGTAGGAAATGCATATGAAGTCACATTTGGTGGTGATATTCACTGCAACTTTTGTTGCTGAAAATACCATTAAGACTAGTGAGGGGGTAGCGTAACTGGCTTAATATTTTTATAACTGTATCATTAACTCTAACTTGTTTATAGTATTAATCAGTAGTAAGTGTACATCATCCCAGGAGACATTTTAAATAGTAACATGCATTAATCTGGGTCAACAATAATGTTGTCAACATAAATACCTTTCATCCACACTTTTCACATGAAAAAGTTGTTATTGTACTTCAATGAAATGTTGATTTTTTCACACACTGCATTATGCAATGTGAAGGATTTATTTTAGGGTTAAATGCCAAGTTTATTCCTACGCGTTAAATGGCAGCTTTACTAGTAATGGTATTGATTGCGTGATACAATTTTAATTGCTTACAGATAGCAGAGCAAATCAATCAAGCACTAAGTGAACACTTTCCAGATGGATGTGGAGTTACAGTTATCAGTGAACCAGGTCGTTATTTTGCATGGAGTACCTGTACTTTATGTGTGAATGTAATTGGCAAGCGTGTTAAAGAAATTGACATGAAATCCGTTGGTGAAGGTAATTATAGACATAGATTGAACTTCATGCCCTCCAGATACATATTAATTATTTTTTTCAATATGAATGCAATATAAGTTAGGTTGCATTATCGGTTGACAATCTTCGCGTATCATATCAACTTATGATATATAAAAAAATACACAATCCTGACATGATGGTTTGCTGGAGAGAAACTTTACTTTTTGGGATTTGAAGTGTCAAAATTACTCAGAATAAAACGCAAAAAGTGTTTTATTTTACACATTTCTTACGGTACAGGAACTGTATTTCAACTATGTAGTTTTCACGTTTCTCCTCCAAGAAATTACCCTTGTTCGAATGGAACTTCTAAGTAAACCGAAAGTTGTTTATTTCGACATCATTTTCTATTGTTTTTGCAGGTACATTAAAAGAAAACACGGATTGCATGGAAGTGAGCCATATGTATTATTGCAACGAAAGTAGATATCTGTCATTTGGAATATTGCTAACCTTGCAGTCCAAAATTGTTCCAATATTATTGAAGGTGAGATATTCAATGGTTGTGCACATATTACATAATGTGAGAATTAAACTTGTGTGTATACAGTGTTACTCTTTACAAAACTTTATATTGCTAACTATATTGCACATTATGCCAGCAGAAGATTTGCTGCGCCATGATAATTTGTGTTAATTTAGAATACGAACATTCACAATTAATAGATTTTGCAGATGTCTTTTCACGTTGATTATTCAGAGGTTAAGCGCAAGTGGAAGTAGTGTGAATTGGTGACAATCGAATCCAATAGTAAAAATCAGACAAAGCAAATATTCAGACAGAGTAGGCTATAACTCATATCGCAACGAGGAATGATTTTGTTTGACAACCAACTAACTCCTCTGCTATATAACACGGAGTTTGAAAGATGGCTAATGAATACTTTATAAACTGCGCCTTTGGCATCAAGCTGATCAAGTCATACACCAGCTCACACCTATTACAACAAGCACTTAATAGCGCTGTTTTTTCACAATTGAGACTGCAGATTTGACGGGATTATAAAATATAAATTACAGTAGACCAATAAAAAATGTGATAAAGTACTTGTGAACGAAAACAATTTCAAGCAATAGAAATCTTGCAGTGCAGTCTTTAACAAAAATTCGGATTGATAAATTAGTATGAT